AGCCTTGCATGCAGTTCCAGGACCAGCCCCCTCTCCGAGGCCCTGCAGCCTGCGGGGACATCCCCTGCTCCCCCTCCCAGGCAGGGCCCTTGCCTCTCCAGTGTCCTCTTGAGTCACCAAGTGAGGCTTCCTTTTGCAAGGAAACAAAGCAGAAAACCAGACAGACAGGCAAGCCCGGGAGGCCCATGAGCAAGGTAGCCCTGCTCGGCCACCCTCTAGGGCGGGGCTGCACACACCTGGGCCCCCTCATGTCTTTACTCTCATTTTCTGGGCTCCTCCATGTCCCTTGATGCCTCCCAAACTCAGGCCCAGTGCCCTCCCCAAGCTCATGCAGGGAAACAGGGTCCTAGCCACTCCCACACATTTACAAAGCGACCCGGAGCACTGCAGGAAGTCCCACTCACTCGGACTCTAACCTCCCAACAGGCTGGGTGTTATCATCCCATCTCCCAGATGGGGTCAGGGCAACATGAGGTCGGGGGAGAAGTCCGATAGTTTCCTAGGGCTGCTGTCACAAGTTAACACAAGCTGGGGGGCTTAAGACAGAGGCCAGAGGCCTGAAGTCACCAGTCAGTAGGGCCCTGCTCTCTCCAAGCCTCTGTGGGAGCTTCTGATGCCTTCCGGTGCTGCTGGCAATTCCTGGCGCTCCTGACTTGCAACTGCATACCTGCAGGCTGTCAGGCTCACTAGGTGCAATCAACCCCAGACTCAAGCTCTGAATCTCAGCCTGAGTGGCCTCTCCTCACAAGAAGACTCACGGCAGCCTCTCCTCACGCTTCAATGCATCAGAGGCCAGCGAATGGCCACTTTGTGCCTAGGAGGCCCCTCTGGTGGTCACAGAACTGGCAGAGCTACAGGTGCCACTGTGCTGATTGGGGACACTGCCCCAAAGGCCGCTGGGGTGATCTTGGGTAGGTTTCCCTCCCACTTCTCTGTTGCCCATGAGAATAGCCCGGGAGGTCAGGGCCCTGAGTGGGGAGGCAGACAGGGTCCTTCCCCAGAAGGACACCTGTAGAGATGCCGCACAGTCATTTCTGCCCAAGGGTGGAAGCCTGAACCTCCCCTCCCCGATCTACAGGCCCAGGCTCCCCATCCTCGGAATACAAGAGAAGGTGCTGGGGCTCACCCACCTGGGCCCACAGGAACTTCCTGCTGGCCTTCCCAGAGAGTGAGGAGAAGGCCCAGGTTCTTCCTTCCCACTCCCTCTCCTTGAAATGGGAGGACTGGGGCCAAGACTTTGTTTCTGCCTGTGGGAGAAACTAGGGAAACCGTTGTGACCTCAGAGGACACCTTGGGGTTCAGGGAGGGCCTATAGGTGGCAGATGGGTCAACTCTGCTCCCAGACAGGAGACCTGGGACCTGGAGGAAAGGTGGCAAGTGGGGGAGAAGAGAAATCATCACCAAAAGTTCTTCCAGGTCCCTCTGTGTCCCTCCCGCCCCCTCCTTTCCCTCACAAAGAAAAAAAAAAGAGTAAAGAGAGAGGACATGGGACCAGCAGGAGATGGAGGCCAGACCGACTCTGAGCTGCTTTCTTTCCCTGCAGCTGGAAGTAAACCTGTGAAGTGCTAAGAGCACGCAGGCCCCTCAGAGATGCCGTGTCTTGAGCCAGGTGCAGTGGCAGGCACCTGTAGCCCTGGGAGGCTGAGCTTGAGCCTGGGTAACCTAGCAGGATGCTGTCTCTTTAAAACAAATGAACAGATGCTGCTTCTCTGTCCCTGACCCAGACTCAGAGGGGAGGAATGCCCAGACCTGCTGAGGATGGTGGCCCTAGGCCAGGCAGGTAGGTGTGGGTGTGAGAGGTGGAAGCCTAATGGGCCGCTGTGTGGAAGGGGAGTCAGCAAGGAGGACAGACCTCAAAAACTGGGCTGAGGTTGAGGCCCAGGGGACAGAAGCAGCCTCTAGCAGGGAGAGGGCCATTTAGCACATGCGCAGGGTCAGGCTTGGGTCCAGGTGTGTGTGTGTTGCGGGGCAACACAAGGATGGGACAGACAAGGCCTGCTGCCCTGATGCCCTGCTGCAGTAATGACCAAACTCACAACGGCAGGGGGCTCTAACTGGTTTGTGGAGATTTGAAATAACTTAATTTTCCCAGGTACTGCCCAGGTACTGCCCTGCGCCATGCTGGTCAGAGATCCCCTTCCCAACGTCAGGTTGGATTCAGAGCCAGCTCTACCCACAGCTCTAACCTTCTCCCTCTGGGGGCTAGCCAATGAAATCAGTCTCTGCCTTGATTCCAAGTCTTCTCCCTTCCCCCAGCTCAGTCAAGCTTCAGAAGCTCTGATTAGGGATGAGATGGTGAGTAGGGGTCCCTCCTTCACCCTGGGTTCTCTGGTGTGTGATGAGAGGAAGGAGCACTGGGCTCTGGACTAGCGTGGGCCAGGGGGTCCCGTGGCAGCTCAACTGCTGTCTAGCCAGGCAGGTGCAGCACCCACGGTCCCAGCCTCCCGAGATGGAAGGCTGGCTCAGGGCTGCCCTGGGCACCAGGCCTGTTCTAGAAAGGTCCTGCCTTGGTTTAATGCTTTGCTGTCTCTGTCTTGAAAAATCTTAAATGTTGGTCCAGAAGCCCTGCATTTTATTTGCACTGGGACCCCCACAAACTCTGTGGCTAGTCCACCTGCCCGACAGGTCTATTTTAGCAACGTGCCACCAAAGGCACCAGACCATTCTGGGTTTTGTTACCCCATACTTCAGGGTTCCCAAAAGCCTGAAGCCACTGGTCTCGTTCACACTTGGGGTCAATTATGGAATTGCCTTCTGCAAATACTGAGGGACCAAGAGCCTCACAGTGGGGTCTAGATGTCCGTCCCCTCCCCACTTAGCAGTCCTCACCACACCTCCACTCCAGGAATCCCTGGCTGGTCACTGAGCCTCTGGCCACAGTGAGCTCCAAGTGGACACTGAAATGCCATCCTCTTCCTCTCGCCGGAGAATTCCTCGACTCCTCCGCGGATCCAGCCCTCCTGCCCACTGGCTGCAGAAGTGGAGGTAGGGGTTGTGCTGCTGCAGAGGCTTCTCTCCTGCTCACTTGGGAAGAGGGGCTGTGGGGACCGCTGGGTTCTGACAGGGGCCTTGAGCCCGCCACTAGGGAGAGGTTGGATGCCCACTCACCTGGACTGGGAGACACTACACCCCTCAAAACAGGCAACATCCTGCCATGTAGAAAAGACCGCTCTGCGGAAGGTTACATGAGAGAGAGTAAGAGGAACTACAGGGACGGCGACTCTCTCCATCACATCTTGGGGCAGAAGCAGAGAAGGAACACGTGTCCACAGGTTTAACAAGATGACTTCATCAGGTATGGATCTAGATGCGATCTCAAGAGGTGACCTGAGGTGGAGGATGGAACTGACCAGGACCTGGGGGTGAGGTATACACAGAGGAGAGGGCGGGGGGCCCTCACATGAGAACAGGAAGTGGACAGAGGAGCCAGAGCATGCAGGGGTGGGGTTTGGGCAGAACTGCAATCCACGCTGCCAGTGGCAGTGACCGGGTTCTTACCTTGAGTCGGGGCAGAAGGGATGGTAGGCAGAGCCCACACTTCCTGGTCTTGCTGCGTCTCTGACCTTCTGCCCTGAAGAGGAGTTTTGGCAGAAGGGAGATGGGGAGGCAGAGAGGCAGGGCAGAGGCCCACATGTGCTCTGCTGGGGTCCAAGCAGCCAAAGGGGCAATTGCAGGCTGTGTTGAGCTCACACCCTCTCTGACACGAATTTGAAGATCATGGATAAAAAAAGATACCCTGTAAGATAGACAGAGACTCAGGCGGTTATGAGTGATTTCCAGCATTAAAAAACCCACATAATCCAAACCTAAACGGCTTTTCCCGACATTCCTGATGGGGTACTTTCTTCAGGAAGCGTAGTGGTAACTGGGGAGGGACGAGGGACACATATCCTGGTGTGTGGGGAGATGTTGACAGCGCTCTGCTTCTCAGGGTGCACTGATTCCTGCGCTTAAACACTCTCACCAAAGTGGCCCTGGGCTTGCCAGCACTAACTGGGGTGCCAGGTGTTTTTCTGGCCCCAGGCTTTTTGCAGGACCAAAGGGCACACCCTGCCCCAGGTGGTGACTCCATTCCAGGAGAGCTGCTCATTTGTGGCCCTTCCTGACAGATTCCCTCCTGCCAGATCAGGGTCACAGCAACTGAGAACAATGCTGGACAGGCTGAGCAGGCCGGGACAGGGGTCTGGGAGAGCGTCAGAAGCTGCTGGGGCCCGTGCTCCCCGAACTGGGCCACTGTGGGGCCTTTCATCTCCCGCTTTCCTCTCTGGGCCACTCCAGTGCCCCCCGCCCTTGCTTCTTCCCACCCCACCAGCCCCAGCGCGGCAATTACGGCGTTAATTAGGATGCTTTGATCATCTTTAGAAATGGCCACACTAGGCAGGGACGCTGCCAAGCAATTAGGGGCAGAGGGGCTGCAAGCTTAGTGGCTTCCTCAGGGGGTGGGGCTGCTGAGGACCCCCAGACCCCCCCCTGCCCTCCTCCCTTCAAGAGTGTCTGCCCCCAGCATAGCCGTAGACTCCTCAGGGGGCACAGGCAGATGGGGATCCCCCCTCCCAGCCCCTGCCCACCAGCCCCCCTCTGCCTGGCCCCGGGCCCAACCGTCAGCTCTTCTCCCCTGTCTCAGCCCCTTTGATGGAGCCGCAGAAACAAGGGCTCCTTTGACAGAAGGGGGGCTCAGAGCCGGAATGATGAGGCTTCAAAGGTGAGGGTCGAGCCCACTACCTCATTCCCTCCCCCAGTCCTGGCCGCCCTCCCCCTTCTGTCCTCTATATAGCCCCCACAGCCCCATTTCCCGAGGGCTCCTAGGAGGTGAGGGCCAGGTGAGGCACAGACCAGGGGAAGTGGGGAATTTTGATGTAAGGAACAGGGTCAGATGATTTGAAGGACAAAAATTCTGTGCCCAGGGGCAGAAAGGCAGTGGGAGGCAGACAGGACAAGCACGGGCAGGGTAGGCCCCAGAGGAAAGAGGACGGGGTCTCCTGCCCCAGCTCCTGGTCACCATGCTGCTGGCTGCGCTGCTGCTGCTGCTGCTACCGCCCCGCCCAGACCCCTGGTCTGCCTATGGGCACCCACTGTACATGCGCCTGCCCCCCAGCACCCTGCAAGGTGAGCCTGGGCTGGTCTGGGGGAGCGACTGAGGTGGGAGGGGCATAGAGGAAGTGGGGTTCCTGGTGTGGAAGGCAAACTTGTCACCCCCCTCATCAAGGCCTTTGGTGACTTCTCCCCACCTCCTGAGAGAAGGGGCCAGGAACTGAGATACAGAGAGGAGAGGAGGAGCAGATAGGCTGGCCGGGGAGCAGAGCTGGAGAGCGATGCCAAAGGCATCAGGAGAAGGCTCCAGACCTAGCAGACAGCAGGAAAGMGCTGCAGAGCGCTTCGGCTGTCTGGGCCCAAACTCAGGCAGGTGAACCGTAGCCGCTTCCTGTCCATCTGCCTGAGTTCTGGGATATTTATATYTTGGGGTGATGGTTTTCCTCCTATGTTTTTAAGGACAGGTGCTTTTGAGAGATTCCAATCAGTTTATTTGAATTAAGGAGATATCTCGGGCTGAGAATCTGAGACCATCTGCTTTGAGGCTTGGGCCTGAGGCCCTGGAGCATTCCTCCCCCCCCCCGCCCCCCCCAGGCCCTCTGGGAGCCCAGCCTGCTTCCCTGTGGTCCCCCAAGGCAGGGCTCAGGGCTGAGGCAGACTAAGACTCTGCCCCAACCATGCTTAATTTTGTGTCCATGTCCCAGCAGTTCTGTCAGCCCAGGGGACCCAGGCACTGCAGGCTGCCCAGAGGAATGCCCAGTGGGCAGTGAAGCGGGTGGAGATGGAGATTCAGCACAGACTGCACACCTGCAGAGGTGGGCCACTCACGCCCCTCATTACCCTGAACTGCACTCATTACCCTGGGCTCTCTCTGTCATCCCTCTCCCTTATCTTCAGACCCCCCTCTCTTGGGGGACAGACACTGCTGGGGCTGGAACCACACTACTTATAGAGTTCTCTCCAAGTGGAAAGGGCATACCAGCTTGGGGCGCAGCATATGGAAAGGCAGAAGGTGGGAACAGGCTGGACTCACCTGGACTGGTGAGAGATTCGTGGCTGCTGAGAACCTGTGGGCTAGCAGGTGGGGTGCAAAGCGGGTGGAAGAGCAGAGGGCGCTCAGGCCCTGCCTAGGGAGGAGGAGCCACAAGAGGGTGGCAGTGAGGTTCAAAGGGCTGTTTCTCAGCAGGACCTGGACACCCCAGGCCTCAAGCACCCCTCCTCCAGGACCCACCTGAACCAGGTGAGGCTAAAAAGGCTCAGGGGGCAGGGCAAAGAGCAGGGTGGGCCTCTAYGTGAGGACAGCTTGAAGTTGTCCCTCACGATGTTACTTCTGCCTTTCTAGGGTCATGTGGTGAAAGGAGCCCTGGAGCTGCCAACGTGACGCGGGCTCATGGACGCATAGTGGGGGGCAGCGCGGCTCCCCCCGGGGCCTGGCCCTGGCTAGTGAGGTTGCAACTCGGCGGGCAGCCTCTGTGCGGCGGTGTCCTAGTGGCAGCGTCTTGGGTGCTCACAGCGGCGCATTGCTTTGTGGGGTATGTTGGTGTTCCTCGGCACCTGCAGACCTAAGTCCCCAACCGTGGGTCCGGGACTTGCCTGAAGACTTGAGAGAGAGCCGGTCTCTGCTGCCCCCTGGCGGAGGCCTGTCCAGGTTCAAGGGGCCGGCACCAGACAAGCCAGCATGCAGACCCCAGCCCAGGGCATTGGCCTTACCTGGAGGATGGYCCTCCCGCCTTCCCTGAGGAGGATCAGCCAGGGTTGCTGGGTGGTGCGGGTGCGCTCGGTGAGGGTCAGGAGCTCCAAGGGGCCTCCTCCGTCCTTGTCCTTGCTCTGATCAGCCCTGCTCACTCTGCAGCGCTTCGAATGAGCTTCTCTGGACTGTGGTGCTGGCTGAGGGGCCCCTGGGGGAGCAAGCCCAGGAGGTGCCAGTGAACCGCATCTTGCCCCACCCCAAGGTGAGAGACCAGTCCCCAAGCCYGGAGCTGGAAACAGGACCCCAATTCCATGCTTCCTTGACATTGTGCTACTCCCTCGTCCCATCCCAGTTTGACCCGCAGACCTTCCACAATGACCTGGCCCTGGTTCAGTTGTGGACACCAGTGAACCCCGCGGGTCCCGCGCGCCCCGTGTGCCTACCCCAGGGGTCCCGGGAGCCCCCAGCCGGCACCGCTTGCGCCATTGCAGGCTGGGGAGCCCTCTTCGAAGGTATTGAGCSGGGCAAGGCCGGGATGAACCAAGGTGTGTGGGGGAAGAATGAGCGCCGAGGGGATGGAGTTTGGGAGGCCAGAGTGTAAAGGCACACCGMAAATTATTGCCCAGTCTTAAGGGAAGGAATCAAAGAGGGCAATGGGAGGGGCCCCCAACCCTGAGCCCCTTCCCTCTTCCCTGTAGACGGGCCTGAAGCTGAGGCCGTGAGGGAGGCGCGTGTCCCCCTGCTCAGCGCAGACACTTGCCAAAGGGCTCTGGGTCCTGGGCTGCGCCCCAGCACCATGCTCTGTGCCGGTTACCTGGCCGGGGGCATCGACTCATGCCAGGTATGAGCCCAGACTGATTGGAGGGCCTGGCTTGGGCGGCTTCGCACGGGCAGCATGGCCTCCTTTCCTCCTGGAAAACTGCTGTCACTCAGTTTCTCTGAGCAATTAGGTCCTTATAGCTAAAATGGGTACAAAAGAGCTCAGAGCAGACAGACCCTTCCAGGTGTAAGGTGGGCATGGGGGTGGTGGTGAATAAAGTGAGCTCTTCCTTTTGGAGCTCTCTCCTGTACCCTAGGGTGACTCTGGAGGGCCCCTAACCTGTTCGGAGCCTGGCCCCCACCCCAGGGAGGTACTCTTTGGAGTCACCTCCTGGGGAGATGGCTGCGGGGAGCCAGGGAAACCTGGGGTCTACACCCGTGTGGCTGTGTTCAAAGACTGGCTCCTGGAGCAGATGAGCGGTGAGCGCCCCCTTCCAATTCCCTCTCCCCACAGTGCCCCACGGAACCGCCCTGGGATAAGTCTGCCCCCTCCTCACCCTAGCGTTGGTCCCCAGCTCCCAAAGGGCTGCACGGAGGGCTGGGAGCAAACATAGGGTGATCTGGCCTCTGCCCCGCCTGCAGCGGCTTCCTCCACTCGTGAGCCCAGCTGCAGGGAGCTTCTGACCTGGGACCCGTCKGAGGAGCGACTGGCAGACGCCGCTCGGCTCTGTGCCTTCTACGCCCGGCTGTGCCCGGGATCCGACGGCGCCTGTGCGCGCTTGGCTCACCAGCAGTGCCTTCAACGCCGACGGCGATGCGGTGAGTCGGTTCCCCCGGCAGGGGCAGCGCCTGGGACGGGAGGCCTGGCCACCTCTGACCGCCACTCAGACCCTTGTCCTTCCCGCAGAGCTGCGCTCTCTGGCGCATACGCTGCTGGGCCTGCTGCGGGGCGCCCAGGATCTGCTGCGCCCTGGGCTGCGGCGTCTGACCCCCGCCCTGGCTCTCCCGGCTCTGTGGCTCCGGCGGCCTCCGCGGCACCCCGTCCTCGAGCAGCGGCTACACTCAGGTACCCCGCGCCCTCCAGCCCCGCCCCGGCCCTGGGCCCCAGTCCTGCGCGGCGGAGCCGCTTTCTCCAGCTGAGGAGGTCCCCTAACCCTGCCTTCCCCAGGATCCAGGGCTACGGGAGTGTGGTTCCAGAAGCCGAGGCCAGAGCAGCGCGGGGCGACGAACAGTAAGGACGCCCCCCGCCGGCCTTCCCAAGGGGTGCAGCCTCGCGGCCCGCGGAGCCCAGAGGGGCTTCAGGCGGGGAATTCTGTGCTAGGAGGGGTTCCCCACCCGGCAACGTCGCAGGCTCTCTCTCCCCTTGGTCGCGGTGGGGCGGACGAGTTAAGCGGAGAATTATGGCTTTGGGTCCTCATCGGCGTCAAAGAGATACTCCTCCTTGCATGGCTGTTTAAGCTCTCCGAGCCTCAGCTTCCCCACCGTACTGAGCAGAGATGGCTGCCCCCGAACCCTGACCCTGGGCGGGAGGCCGACTCCCTGTTATTCCAGGGCCTCTCCCCTCTGTGCAGGCTGCCCTGGGCTGGAGCCCCTGAGACAGAAGTTGGCTGCCCTTCAGGGGGCTCATGCCTGGATCCTGCAGGTCCCCTCAGAGCACCTGGCCATGAACTTTCACGAGGTAGGTCCCCAGGCTTCCTAGACTCCTTCATGGTGACGTGGGAAGGCTGGCATGATGCGGGCCCTGAGACAGAGGGACAGAGTCCAGCCCTGACAGGTGGAGGAAGGAGGGACATTCACTGCAGGAGGCAGAACCCAGCCCCCAGCCCGAATGCCCCTGCCCCGCCCCCAGGGGACCCAGGGGGTGGATGGGGGACCACTGTGTGTGCGCTGGGGCATGGTGGGTATGAGCAGAGGGAGTGGAGAGGCGTGGGGTGAGGGCGCATGGGGGTGCCACTGGGTAGAAATCAGCMAGGCGTGAGTCTGGTGAGTTTCTGGAGTCCAGGGGGAGGGGGTGGCTCCTATTGCCTACTTGGGCCTGGGTTTCTGGGTCCCTGATCACCTCTTCCTCTTCAGGTGCTGGCAGATCTGGGCTCCAAGACACTGACTGGGCTCTTCAGAGCCTGGGTGCGGGCAGGCCTGGGAGGCCGGCGCGTGGTCTTCAGTGGCCTGGTGGGCCTAGAGCGGGCCACACTGGCTCGAAGCCTCCCCAGGCTATTGGTAGAGGCCCTGCAGGCCTTCCGCCTGGCTGCCCTGGCAGAGGGAGAGCCCGAGGAGCCCCAGATGGGTGTGAGGCCGGACCCAGGGCTGGGGAGGAAGGAACAGCACACACTCCACCCTCAGGTTCCCCCTGCCAGGCAGCCGTGGTGAGGACCTGCTGCTCCCGGGCTGAGGGAGGCAGGAGTCATCGCCACAACAAGCCAACAAACTCACCGCCCCCTTTGGCATGGGGTGGGGTACTGGGTCTTCCAGGAGTGCCATCAGAGAATTGCCGCTGCTTTAATAAATGTTATTTATATTCTGTGGAGACTATTTGGAGCTTTCTTGGCTGGGGAAGCAGTGGGTGGGCATTAGATCTGGGGTGGGCAGAGTTTCTGGGAGCAGTTGGCAGAGATCACAGAGAAATGGGAGAAGGGGCTGCTAAGCCCCCGTCTGAGCATACACTTTGTCTCCCGGGCGGCGGCAGCTGGCCTGCCCGTCACACTCCCGTCCGTGGCTGACTAGTGTCTCCACCAGCCCCACCCTTCCTGCTCCTCTCAGAGTCCTGGCCTGGGATCTCAGCCTCTCACTCTTGGGCTCTGGCCCTGGCCCTGGCTGTCCATCCCCACCCCCTCATCACCTGCCTTGAGGTGTCAGATTGCATTTCCGGCTGCCTTTTCCCCTGGGCCCCCACCCCCACCCTGCACCTGTCCCCTCTGCCTTCTGCCCTCATTCCACAGCCCTGCAGGGCACACACAATCAAGGGGACAGGATGGAGGGCCCTGTGCTGACACTGGGGCTGCTGGCCACCTTGGTGGTGTGTGGTAAGGGCATCACCCCACCCTGGGGTCCCTCGTGCAGCCACCTGGACTCCCCCTGCATGGCCCCCTGCTTGGGATCATGCCCAACTCCCACTCCCTCTCTACCATCTCTGCCTGAGAGGGGCCAACCTCCAGGGTCCCCATGCCCAGGAGGTGGTTGGATCCCCTCTGTTCAGCCCAGCCCGATGGCCCAACAGGATCTCAGGGCTGCTTCCTTCCTGGGCCCCCTGCCCAGTGCCCGGTTGCCATCCCTGGCCCTCCCCAGGCAGCTGGGGCCTGAACGAGGAGGAACGGCTGATCAGGCACCTCTTCACGGAGAAGGGCTACAAGAAGGAGCTCCGGCCCGTGACCCGCAAAGAGGAGAGTGTGGACGTCTCTCTGGCTCTCACTCTCTCCAACCTCATCTCCCTGGTAAGAGGCCCCTCCYGGGCTGGGCTGGGGAAGGGGGGTAGCTTCTCCAGTGCTGATAGCTGTGGAGGAAGCTCACCTAGGGCAGCTTCCCTCCCTGGAGACACACTGTCACCCCCAAGCCCTGTGTGCTTCCAGCACTCCAAGGCTGGTGCCCCTTCCCCTCCAGCTTCAGTTCTGTGGCCACCATGCCGCACCCATGACCTGCCCTCCTGCTCCCTGGCCTGCCTACCCACCCCTGAGGGCCTGGCTGCCAGGGTTCCCTGGTTGCAGCCACATGAGGTACTGGGTCGATGTGTGCAGCAGGTAGAGACATGTCCCTTTGACAGACAGCCCTCCTGTCTGATTCCAGAAAGAAGTGGAGGAGACCCTCACTACCAACGTCTGGATAGAGCACGTAAGGAGAATGCCCCCCTCAGGGCCAGGAGTGGGGGTCCAGGGCCCAGGGTCCCCTGTGCTCTCTTCCACTAGGGGACCTCTAGTCTGCCCTGGATACTGTCCTCCAGAAGGGCTTAGTGCCTCCCTACAGAGAAACCCCAGGCCCAGATGCCCTTCTCTCCCACCTAGACCCCTGCTAGCTCTGATGGCAATTTCAAGAAGATTAGAATGGATCTTTGGGGAAATTGTCACTCTACTCTGATTTTTTTTTATAAGACACTCTTAATAAAAGTGTCAGAGCTGTCAGAAGTTCCTAATACAGAGACAAATAGGAAATAATGCTCCCTACATTGTGCAGTACACATTGTATACAGCTGTTCATGACAGACCTGAGTCCTCACTTTTTACCTGCCTCCCTCCTCATCTGCCACAGCTCTCAGGTCCTGTTCAGTCTTTCCTGGTGGAAGTGGGAGTGATGAGGAAGGCTGGACAGCAGCAGAACCCACTGCTGACATGCTTTTGGGCTTCCAGGGCTGGACAGACAGCCGGCTACAGTGGGATGCTGAAGAATTTGGGAACATCAGTGTCCTGCGCCTGCCCCCTGACATGCTGTGGCTTCCCGAGATTGTGCTGGAGAATAAGTTGAGTGGTGCCTCCCTTTCCTAGGCATTCTCCACCTCTCCTCCAGCCCCAAGTTCTCCCCAACCCTGCCAGGTCTGAGCTCGTCAGTGCTCACAGTGACATGTGTCCCTGTCCCCAGCAATGACGGCTCCTTCCAGATTTCCTACTCCTGCAACCTGCTGGTCTTCAACTCAGGCTATGTGTACTGGCTGCCCCCCGCCATCTTCCGCTCCTCCTGCCCCATCTCTGTCACCTACTTCCCCTTCGACTGGCAGAACTGCTCCCTTAAGTTCAGGTGCGCCCACCTCTCTAGCCCCTCACCGCCCAGGGCCCCCTGGGCAGGCTGGAGGAGGTGAATGATCAACCCCCCCCACACACACAGTGGCCCTCTGTTCTAACCCTCTCACCTCACTGGCCCACTGCGGCTGCAGGTCACCCTCTGTCCACTGCTCTCCCCAGTTCTCTCAAGTACACGGCCAAGGAGATCACCCTGAGCCTGAAGCAGGAGGAGGAGGATGGCCGCWCTTACCCCGTGGAGTGGATCATCATCGACCCGGAGGGCTTCACAGGTGCGGGGAGCAGCGCGGGGTGTGGGGAGGCCCTGTGACACACACAGGAGTAGACCCAGGCCACCGACACCTCTCAGCCACACACCTAGGACAGACACATCCCACCCCTGGAGGACCACACACCCAGCATCACACAGGACACCCAGCGGCAGAGCTGAGCGGGGACARCCGCTGCCCCACCCAGGGCAGAACACTCTCCTCCGGCCCTGCACCCCGGGCCCCTCACTCCACCAGCTCTCATCCTGCCCCTGAGGCCCCAGTCCCTGGGACCCCCCGCACCTGGCCTGATCCCAAGGTGTCAATGTCCACCCTCAGAGAATGGGGAGTGGGAGATAGTGCACCGGCCAGCCAGGGTCAACGTGGACCCCAGCGCCTCGCTGGACAGCACCAGCCGCCAGGATGTCACCTTCTACCTCATCATCCGCCGCAAGCCGCTGTTCTACGTCATCAACATCCTGGTGCCCTGCGTGCTCATCTCCTTCATGATCAACCTGGTCTTCTACCTGCCGGCCGACTGTGAGCTCCCCGCCCGCCCACCCCCAGGCCCCCTGAGGCCTCTGGGTCGAGGGCCTTCCAGCACTGCCCCCTTGTTTCCCCCGGGGCCACAAGGTGTCACTCCTGGAGGCCCTGCCTGGGGCACCCGGCCTGAGGGCCAGGAGGCCAGCTGGGGGAGGCCCGGGGCCCACTGAGAGCAGTGCCCAGGGCAGGGGCCCACTCTGCCTCTCTCAAGAAGCTTTCCAGGGACCCCGGGAGAGTGGCCAGGCAGAGATCAGGCCTGTCAGGGTCACTACTTTGGGCCTGGCATCCAAGAGGCCACAGCTGTTGACCCATTGAGCMGGCCAGGGGCGTCTGGGAGGCTGGGATGCGGGAGCAGAAGATCAGCCTGGGCTCATGTGGCTCCAGGAAGCAGTAATTTTACAATTTCAGGACATTCACCATGAGCCACCCAGTGCCTGCCTGTGGCAGATGGTGAAGCCACAGGCCTGGGTGGTGGCCCTACTGGGGGACCATTCTAAATGGTGGGGGGGGGGCAGGATTCCCGGAGGAGGTGGAGTTTTGCCAGACAGGACCATGTGGGAGCAGGTGCAGGGGGAGGGGCGGGGCTGGGGCACAGGTGGCCCTCCTGCCCAGGAGCTCAGGTGGGAAGGGCAGGGCAGGGCAGTGCTGGCTGGGTCCTTGCTGGAAGGGTGGCATGTTGGGTGTCATTGGGTGCTGTGCGGATGTCCCAGAGCTTTCTGAAGGAGGGCGACACATGCAGCTCTGTGATTCAGAGGGGTAGCGGGGTGTCAGGGGCTGGGCTAGCAGTGRTGGTTGGGGGTTTGTTTTGTTTTGCAGTGCTGGGGATGGAACCCGGGGGGCTGCACCATGTGCTACACCCCCAGCCTTTTTTTTTTTTTGAAACTGGGTCTTGCCAGTCTCGAACTGGCTATCCTCCTGTCTCAGCCTCCCTAGTCACTGGGATTCCAGGCAGGTGCCATGGCACCTGGTGACAACTAGCATCCATTCAGCACTTGCCTGGTATTGACACTCTCGTGAGTCTTGAGAAAACAGGCACAGAGCAGTTAGGCTACTTRTTCCAGGCCGCCCCACCAGTAAGTGGCAGAGCTGGGATCTGAGCCCAGGCACTGCAGAGCACAGCCTGATGTTGATCAGGCACCATGGCCTTGTGAACAGCGGTGGCAGAGCCCCTGTAGTGGGCCCTATGGCTGGAGGTCTCGGGTTCCAGCCAAATCTGGCTCCCCAGGTGGCGAGAAGACGTCCGTGGCCATCTCGGTGCTCCTGGCCCAGTCTGTCTTCCTGCTGCTCATCTCCAAGCGGCTGCCTGCCACGTCCATGGCCATCCCCCTCATTGGCAAGTGAGTGGCCCACGCCTGGCTTCACCCACTCCTGGCCCGGCCCTGTGCACCGCCGCCCCCAGGCTCCAGGCTGCCTGTTGCCCACAGGTTCCTGCTCTTTGGCATGGTCCTGGTGACCATGGTGGTGGTGATCTGTGTCATCACCCTCAACATCCACTTCCGAACACCCAGCACCCACGTGCTGTCCGAGGGCGTCAAGAAGGTGAGTGCTGGGCCACGGCCAACAGCTGGAAGTGGTGCAGGGCCAAGCTCAGGAGAGGGGGTCAAGACAGGGGCTGCGCCAGCCTCCGCTGCAGGCCGTCCCCTGAGGGGCCAGGCAGGRAAGCACGCAGCCAGGTGGGCTTTCTCTGACGCTTAAAAACAGGCAAAAACAGTCTTTTTCTCTTGTGGCACTGGGGGTTGAACCCAGGCTTCAGCAGGCTAGGCAAGCCCAGTACCACTGAGCTACATCTGCAGCCCTTCCAAACCAGGCTTTGATGATAGAAGTCGGGATGGTGGCTCCCTCGGGTGGGAAGGGA